CAGCAGGAACTCATCCTTCTCATGGCACCAACCAATGAGTTGCACCAGGTTGCGATGTCTCAGGCTACTGATGATCTTGACCTCGGTTATGAACTCTCTCCTCCCCTGTTTAGACCCGCCTGCAAATTTCTTCACGGCAACCATCATATCTATGTCCTTAAAGTACCCTCTGTAAACTGCTCCAAATCCTCCTTCACCGAGTTTCCTTTCATCCGAGAAGTTGTTGGTAGCTGATGCAACATCTTTGTAAGAAAATCGTCTTGGCCCTGCTCCTCGTTCGAGATCTTCATTTATCGATGTCAAGTTTGTAGCCTCTCCTGCTTTCTTCTTTCTTTGCCTCCGTTTCAAGATGATAACGATCGTGACAACCAGAAAGGTCAGGAGGACAAAACCAGAAATCGAAACACCGATTATCACCGCTGTCCTGTCAGGAGTTTTCTCTGCATCTTGTATATCTAAGGGTGAACTGAAGTCCCAGGATAACAGTCTATGCCCCTCCGCACTCGATCCAGTTGCAGCCGAGAACCCGATCGTAACTTCTGATGGCAGAACCTTTGCAAGATCAATGATGTAAGAAAGGCTTGTTCTCTCCCTAGGATCAGATGTCAATTCGTATGTCCAAGAGACACTCAGATTCCGCTGAGCTGAATTGTAAGAGATCCGCGCATGACCTATATCTTGGCTGTGCAAGCTTGCGTTCCAGGAAGTGTAATTTGCGGAAAAAAGCGAATTATTGTTGATTCCAACATGAGATTGAAAACCGCGAGGATCCCATTCTGAATTGTAGAATGTGTCGAATTCAATGTGAACAAGCGGGAACAAAGAGGAGCGCACACCGGTTTGATTGAATAGACCCAAGAAACCAGTAGCGGAGTTGGGAAGGATTTGGATTCCAACCGGAGCAAGGAAGAAACTGAACCCGTGACCATACTGAGAAAGGTTACGGGTATCGATCCTGAAGGAGAAACGTGTGGTAAAATCCGAAGACTGACCCGTTGCAGGATCCCAAAGAGGGACCTTCCTAGCATAAGTAGCCCAACCAACACGACATGTATAATCAACATTGTTGAATTCGATGGCGTCGTTTGGTGTTGCATCTCCTTGGTAAGCGATGTCAGGATTACCTGGCTCAAAACGAGAAAAGTTAAACTGAACCGAGTGAACAAAAGGGAGGATGAGAAGGAATGAGAACAAGAAACAAGTGGACATGGTGTTGAATGCAGAAGCAGCTACAGAACAAGAGATGCAATACTTGAGAGAATAAACAGCCATTTATCAGATCATATGCACAAGGGAAGGGACCCAATATTCTTCCATGATTAGAAAAATGAGTTTATCTGTGAGCCAGCCAAGTTATCTGTAACAGGAACAAAGAATGTAAATAAACTATTATCTAAGCAACCAACATAGTTGACCATGACGATAAACAAATTTTATAGTAGTTTGATTATCCATTGAAGAAGAAGCCAGTAGAACAAGCAACACCTGTTTGAATTTGACATAAAAAAATTAAAAATTCGGACCTTTTGATGTTCTTTCCATGTGATTGATTTGAGAGTGATAAGAATGAATGATTCGCCTCCCAGACATTTTCTCAATTATTGAAAGACCATTGTTATTTTTAATTCTCCAGTCGAAAATGACGCAGACAAAACACGTAAACCTTAAAAAAGTCAGTTTTTGAGCAAGCTTCATAGGAGACCAAACTCAACTTACTCCATATGTCTCAGCACCACGGTTGTTAGTCCTGTCGCAGACTGTTGAAAAAGGATCGAGATTTGTTTTCCTGCGAGGCAATGATAAGAATGCAAAGTTGAATGGGAGAGTTCTGCTTGTAAAAGAAGCAACAAACAAAAGCAAGAGAGATCAGTTAGTCACTCATCCGTATATATGGACGTTTGATCGATACATATAGAAGGATAGGAATGTCTATTTGGTAAGTCGGAGTCATTAAACAACATAAAGTAACTGAGAGGTCTTGTGAAAACATTATTGAAACGTACCTGGAAGACGTGTCTGTGTGTCCTAAGTTTGGAATAAGACAATGCGAAGATGAAGAATTGGGTAATAACAACATAAAACAAGAACACGATTGCATTCAAAAGGGGAATTTTACAAAATATTTGTCATAACACACATAAACCACAAACCAAAGACCAAACATAGGTATCTGGCTTAATTCCATGGCAGAACACATTGGTTGTGTAAACTCGTATTCCAGGAAGTGTAGTTAGAAGAAGAAAGGGAATTCTTGTTGATCCCCACATGAGACTGGACATCAAGAGGATGAGAGGATCCCATTCAAAAATATAAAAGCTATCGAATTCAATATGAACAAGTGGGAAACGAGATGAGTAGACATTGGTATCGTTAAAAAGACCCAAGAAACCACTGGCTGAGTTGGGAGGGATTTGGAGTCCCACAGGACCAAGAAAGAAAGCAAACCCATGGCCATACTCTGTAAGGTTACGGGTATCGATCCTGAAGGAGAAACTGGTACTAAAATCAGAAGGTCTCCCGGTATTAGGATCCCAAATAGAAACCTCCTTAGTATACGTAGCCCAACCAACACGGCAGGTATAACCAACATTGTTTAATTCAATCGCCCCATTTGGTGTTGCATCTCCTTGGTATGCTATTTCGGGATCACCTGATGAAAAACGAGAAATGTTAAACTGAAGGACTGAGTCAACGAAAGGGAGAACAAGAAGTAAGGAACAGAACAAGATTGAGTTGGCCATTGTGCTGGTAGAAGGAAGGAACTGAAAGCACCAGAGAACAAGACGGTCACAACTACATGTAGAATTATCATCAACTCCACCAACGGTCAAATTTCAAGAAATTGTTCCACAAGATCTAAAAAAGAGTCAACGAAGAAACAACTTACAAAATTAAGCTTAAGTAAGAGCCAACTCAACCTAAGATTAACCGAATCCCTGCAACCAAGGAAGGCTTTTTCTTTGTTAAATAAAAAATATAACTGTAGCAGGTAGAGACATGACATCAACCACCAAAGAAACCGGCCTCAAGAATAAACAAATCATGTATGATTCTTCGTGGAAGAACAAACCCATGAACTGAGCAAACATCATTTTGAGCATGACACGGAATTCACAGAGGAAAAGTCAACATTTTTAAAATTTTGGAGGCTTGAATCATACGGAAAACGATCGTGATTCGACAGAGTCAACATAAACAATCTGCTACTTCTACCGCCGATATCACAATCACGTTGAGGAATTCCAGCGAACACCTGGTGGGCATGACTTAAACTGATTACTAATCACTAAGGCGCTTCATTTTGATTCCTACCGATTCAGAGCGGAAAAAGTGCGAACCTTTTGAAACAAGACTAATACAAAGATCACGATTTCTTGTCTTCCATATGTAAAAATCGAATTTACCAAACAAAATAATCGATACTCCATGCTCGTGCTTCATGAGACCCGGTTGGAAGACTTTGCTGTAGAACCGCCTACAATTTTTCAAAAATGACAAAATAAGCCCCAAACTTTTATACGTTCCTAATAAACCTCCGTGGGTGGAACATTGTCTCATAATTTGGAACCCAAACATCTATAAAGTCTTATTATCACGTAAATTCCATGTTCTATAAGTTGGTGTCAATAAACATTTCGCCGAATATTATATATATGAATCTGCTAATTAAGCCAATTTAAAATTAGATTTGATTTTCGCTGGAAAATAAACCAAAATACCAATTATTACCAGGCAACTGTCCGAAAATGACATGAAATTTTAAAATGTGAGCTTTTTTAATTCTGTATGAATGGTTCTGCAGCGATAAGTTCATAGCATGAAAAAGCCGAACTAGCATATTAATCATAAGGTTGCATTATTTCATAATTTTAAATTATCGCACCGTCTTTCGATTATTTAATTTCAGAAATTTCGCGAATATAAAACAGTTTCCATCTTACGATGAGATAAAAAAGTAAAGAGAGATTCATCGGTTGGAGTAAATCTTGTTGAGGTTAAGACGAACAATTGAGGAACAAACGGTATCTCTTCAAGTTCCCATGAACTCTGAAACCCTAGAATTTTTCAAAATCAGACATTTTATTTACTAAAAATAATTTGATATTAAGAGAATAAAATATAAATCACAATGAACATGATCAAACTCTTTATGCTTTTATTGGTTAATGCATCCAAACTATGTATGATTTCTTGATGATTGACACCTGTTTTTATTTTAATTAATCGAATTCACATCTTCCACTAATTACAGTCCATATTAACGTTTATTTAATTTAACCTCTGATTAATGGGTTAACCCAAGTGCCAAAAATTCAGATCGAGTCTGATTGGACCAATGGGACTGCACCCACGTGGCTTTAAATTCGGAGAGATAATTAGACCATCTGGTTTCATCATTGTATTTTATTTTATTTTCCTAATCGGAAAAAGCGTTTACAATTGTACTTTAAAAATTTTTGGACCGTTTTACAAAGTACATTTAACAAGTCAGAGTTCACCAAATATGTCTTTAGATTTTGATAAATAAAGAAATTATTTTTAATTTTTTTTTCCAGAAATATCTCCTTGTTCATAATAGAACATTGAAATATGCTAAAGACCATACAAAAGAAATGTCGATTAAAGTATTAAAATGGAGTTGACAAATACAACGATATAGATAATAACTGTGCTACCCTGATATAACTGATTTGAAGATTGTTGTAAATGACAGGATTAAAAACAATCATTAGTCATTTTAGAGTTCAAACCGAATCTCGACCGTCCATTTGATTCGTATTATACCCAATAAGACCATATGATCCGACGGTTGGAATTAAACATATGTAAACCCTTGCTTTAGCACGATAATTAAATAAAATTAGACCCACTAATTATTAAACTACGCCCTTCCCAAAAAACAAAAACTTTTTCTTGATTAAGGCAAACAAAAACCCTAATCGTTGTTCATTTCCCCCACTAACCAGATCTCTTTTGAGAAAGAGACTACGTTTCTCCTCTTTTGCTTAATCTTGATTAAGTTCTGATTAGAGGAGATTAAACAGAAAAAAGAGTGATTAAACAAAAAATGGGGAGAGGGAAGATTGTGATCCAAAGGATCGATAACTCGGCGAGCAGACAAGTGACATTTTCGAAGCGAAGAAAAGGGTTGATGAAGAAGGCGAAGGAGCTCTCGATTCTCTGTGACGCGGAGGTTGCTCTTCTCATATTCTCCAGCACCGGAAAGCTCCATGAGTTCGCCAGTACCAGGTTTCGTTTCAAAACCCTAATCCCATATACCCCTCGTCTTTACTCTCATACAACAGCATACATATATGTGTATATATTGATGCAAGAACGGATTCTTTGATTATTACAGTAACATCTGTTCTTGTTTTCTCTTGGATGACCCTTTTTCCCATTTATGGATTGGAAGTTTGATTTTCTGGATCCAGCACGATATTTTAAAACGTATTCAGAATCTATGTTAGCCCTAATGAGTGAGAAGGTTCAAAATTATACTTTTTTTTTTTGGGTATCACTACAGTGTATTTCAGATATTGTTTCAGATGTTGTTTCATCTGAAACTATTGTCTGAGACAGATTATGTGTTGTTCTAGATTGAGTTGAGATACGTGTAGAAAAATCTTTGGTTAATTTTTTTGGCTCAAACTGTGAGATTATATAAATCCATTTTACCTTTTTGTTCTGCCAACAAAGTTAATTTGCGCTTATTAAAATCCCTTTTTAGGCTCACTGGACGTCTATTTCAGATTTAGGGTTTGAATCATCCATGGTTAGCATAGTAAATGTTGGATATATATATTCTTTTTGTCAGTTTAGCACTAATGATAGTCATATTTCTTGTTAGTTGGCGAATATGTTCATAAACTTAATGAATCTCTAGACATTACATACAAATATATATATATATCCGTTTTGGTTTAATCATTCATGCAGTGTGAGATCAGTCATCGAACGGTACAATAGCATCAAGGGGGAAGAGCTACAGTTGTTGAACCCCGCTTCAGCGGTGAAGGTACAATACATTATATTTATACGTACAAAAATTCTCACCTACATGTGTATATACGCGTACATGTATGCGCATGCACTTGGTTTCATCATGATCTGGTTAACTATGATGTTAGTTTTGGCAAAGGGAAGCTGCAATGTTAAGGCAACAAGTGCAGAGTTTACATGATAGTTATCGGTACGTATATTAGTACGTAGCTTGATCGATCATATATCCGTGAACATTCGATAGATTATATACATCTATACGTACACCAATATTGAGTAAATATTGATATTACAATAACAATTTACTCATAGACAACTGATAGGCGAAGAACTCGGCCATCTAAGTGTTAAAGATCTCGCAACTTTAGAGAATCAGCTCGAGGCGAGTTTAGGGAGTGTTCGAATGAAAAAGGTAAGACATCTCTATCGTGTTTTTTTTTTCTTTTTTTTTGAAAATAAAAAGTGATTTGATGTTATATATACGTGTGTGTGTGTGTATATATATAACACAACATGATAAAAGATCAGATATAATTTAAGCTTTCGTACAGGAACAAATGCTGTCGGACAGACTGCAATCGCTAAGCGAGAAGGTGCTTAAACAAATTTTAAGACTACATATAGTATCATCTACTTTGATCTATTGATTAATTTCTTGGTTCACTGAATTTACTAATCTGCGTCATATTATATATACATATATATATATATATAATGTGCATTAATTGTTTTTTTTTCATGTTTATAGGGTAATCTCATTTATCAAGAAAATATCGAATTGCACAAGAAGTTGGACCAGATTGGCCAAGAAAATATTGAATTGTACAACAAGGTAGGATGAGGATCTTAAGACTATGTAAGATCAAGTTCACAATAACCTATATATATGTGTGTGTGTGTGTGTATATATATCATGCATTTGATAAGATCAATAGAATCATTTTTTTTTTACCATGCATTGCATGCAGGTTTACGCTTCACGGGACAGCTATGCTATGAACTCCGGCGAAATTGTTCGGTCGTTGGTTAGTGGAGACGGCGGGAGAAATCCCATTCACCTCCAACCAAGCCAGCCTCTAACACCGACCAAAACTAAAGAATAATAAATCATATATCTATACATGCAAATTACATTTAAAAAAAAATATATTTATAAAGGTTAATCAAATTGACCAACGATGAAGAAATCCATAATCTATGTTTTGTAATGTAATTTCATGTATTACGAACTTACAAGATACAGTTGAAAAGAACAGTGCTAGTGTGGAGAGGTAATCACATAATATAATTATGCAATCACCAGTTCCATTGTTCACATAAATATTCCTGGTGTTTTTTTTTTTAATATTTACAAATAGTTTATATATTTTGTTAATTAAATTAAAGATTCATTATTATGAATAGACATAAAGGACGATAAAATTGTGCGACAGGTTAGACCCTGCAAATGATGATGTGATGCATAATGCTAAATCTGAATCTTGTACGGAAATAATTTGATAATTTAATTAATTACGATTCTGTATGTTTTATCACATTTGATGAATTTCTTTGACACGCTTTGGGCAGGGAAGATGCTAAAGTTTTCGTCCTTTACCATAGCGACGTTCTGATACAACCAAAGCTGTGAAAAACATACGAAACGACGCGTTTCGTGTTTTGGACGAAGGGGTGATCTTGACCGTTCAAAGTGATTCGACGGCCCAGATGTTCCAGACAAATCGTTTGGGTTTTCGCGCATCTCCCCCACATGTATCAGTGACAAGTGCAATTATTATTGTTTTTTCGTATGCGACCCTTTCACATAGTCCAATAAAAATTTCCGAAGGCAGTATTATAAAAACATTTTATGATTGTTTTTTAAAAAATTTACTAAGTAATTTTAATATATTTATCTATATGTCATAACTATTACTACACTATCGATTTGATTTTTCAAAAACAAGAAAATCGTGAATTATCATGACCTCAAAACACTAAAGGAATTGTAAAACAGCACGGTCCATTTATTTCGTTATAGATTTTAGCATCCAATATTGTTAGGTAGTTCTTAAAACCGATATATCGTTTTAAATTAGTTTGAGCATATTTAAAGTCCGAATATTTTTCGTCAAGAATAGAAATTGTTAATATCCAGAGATCTGTGCATAACTATAATATGTAAGTAGTAGTCAATGATGATCAAGACAACGATAGATCATATATATGGATTCACCAGTCGTGAAAAACATTAGGTTATAATCGATCCACATCTCATTAATTACTTTCCGTGATGAAACTTAAAAACAAAAAACAAAACATATTTACGATATATATATAAATAGAATAATGAAATCATCGAAGGGGAGACCGTCGAGGATCAATGGAACCGTCGTGCAAGTGGCAGCCATCGTCGAAGTTCTGGGAATAGCTCAGAGCATCATAATGAAATCTCATCATGGATCTGTTGTTGGAGTTGCCACACTCTTGAACCAATATCCTTCTTATCAGCCTCCTCAATCTCTTGCACGATGATGATCTTGTCGTCTTCTTCTTGCTACCCTCTTCGTTCTTGTTCTTGCCGTTGTAATAATCGATTCGAGAGTACTGCGTTTCGCTGTGGATCAACGAGAGACAAGACGACGGCGAACTCATGCACTTTCCGGTGAGGTACGGCGACCTCCGGTGGCCGGCGATATCTCTCTCCATCTGCAAACACACAAGTGGTTCTCCTTTGTATTCTGGGTGTGGGATATATAGTTATATACTATAGTGAGATATTGTATTGGTCGTAAACATGAGGGGTAAACTTAGATTATATAGACTTGAAAATAAAATTTAAAAAAAAAAGGATATTACGACGAGAAAGAAAGTCTAGGTGGTCTGAGATATGTGTGTGTAGGGTCATCAATAATATTTTTTTTTAAAATTTTTGACATGCATGGGTAAGTGAGTCCATTCTTAAATGTAATCTATATATTTTAACATGAAGGGATGGATAGATTTGACGCAATATACGTCCAAAACAGATCAATGCAACAGAATAAAGTGATATCAGATCGGATCGGCGTGGTTACAATACAACTTGGAAGGAACCTTATCCCGAATCCAAGAAACTGTATCTCTTTTAAAAGCATACAAAAAACAAGATTCAGATGATATTTGTTTTATATCGGGCAATTTGTTTAAGTAACGAGGGAAAAAACAGTATAAACAGGGGTGAAAAGATAAACGGAACAGGGGGGGGGGG